GAAAGATTTAGCAAGAAAGAAAAGGATGCTGCAGAATCGAATGATCAGGCTTTGAATGCAATCTTCGGAGCGGTTGACAGAAATCAGTTCCGTCTTATCTCAAATTGCACAGAGGCTAAGAGAGCTTGGGACATTTTGCTTATTACTCATGAAGGCACTACAACAGTCAAGACAGCCAAACTTCAGATCGTGATGTCTAAAATTGAAAATCTTAAGATGGAGGATACTGAATCTATCACAAACTTTCATGGGCGAGTTAGAGAGTTGGCAAATGAGGCTGAAAGGCTTGGTGAACCAATTACAGAACACAAGTTGGTGTTGAAAGTTTTACGTTCTCTTCCAGAAAAATACTCCATGGATGTCAAAGCTATTAGACAAACACAATCTCTAAATACTATGTCTCTTGACGAGCTGATGGGGAACTTAGAAACCATTGAGTTGGAGATGCATGAAGATCTACGGCGTAAAAAGCAGCATGTCATCCTCGTTGAAAAAGAGAAGCAGTGTGTTAAAGACAGTGCTGGAACAGGCTGTGCTTTTCCAACTTTCCATAGTGTTGACGGTGACTCTGGTAGTGACGTGGATCCAAAGGAGATGCTTATAATTGTTGAAGAAAAATTTCAAGAGTCTCTACGGGTCAACAAGAAAAAATGTTTGGAAAATGATAGCCTCAAACGTGAACTTGCTGAATCAAAACGCGATGTGGAACAACTCATCAAAGAGTTACGGAGATACAAAGGTAAAGTTACAGCAGAGGATGACACAGAGGATGATACAGAAGATGACACAGAGGCTGACACAGCAGAAGAGCTAGCTATTCTCCAAAGGAAGTGGGTAGAACTTGTTCAAGCCAACCAGAAAACTGTCCTAGAGAATCATCAGCGTGTTGCCGAGCGCAATAGACTAAAGGAGAGTAATTCAGAACTAGAAAAGAAGATTGAAGACTTAGAAGGGCAACAATCACATATCAAGTATGAATTAAATCAACTCAAAAACTTTCACAAGTGGATGAGAAGTGCTGGAGCAAAAGCTATTGAGGAACAAGTGAACGTTTCAAAATTTTATGGAGACAAGACAGGTCTCGGATTTTCAGGTTCTGAAAGCAAAAAGACCCCACTTGACTTGTTTGTTGATCGAAGAAAGGAAATTGCTCAAAAAGTCCCACAAGGAAGGAAAACTGAAGCTGCTGCATCTGCTGGAACATCTTCTGCCAAACCCGCTGAAGCATCTCATGAAGCTTCTGCTAGAACAGTTTATGCAGCACCCTATGCAAAAAGGCAAAGAGTTGTGACACAATCTAGTATGAGAAGACACAAGGATCCTTATGCTAAACCTGAAAGGTATTCTTATACTAATGTCTATGCTAATTATGTTTGTTTTTGCTGTGGAAAAAGGGGACACATTCAGAGGAAATGCAAGATTTTTAAAGAGCAAAGATACAGAAAAAAGAATGTGACAACAAGGATGATTTGGGTACCTAAGAATCAGTACAAAACAGGTGATAATCCTTGTGTGAAGGATGTTGCTTCTGATCAATGCCATGTTAGTAGTGCAAGCTTGCATCAAGAAGAAAAGAAAATGGATTCTTGTGCTGTTAAGAGTGCTGAATCACCTCATAAGTGTGATGAAGTGACACCTCCTAGTCATGAGAGTGTGCAGTTTATGGCTATGAAAAAACGGGCATTGGGTATGTGTAAAAGAGCATTTGATGGGAATCGGTTTGGTATACTCAGATCCCGCTTGGGTTTGTGCACACCTATCTCTACCTGATTTAGAGGATGCTCTAAGAGGTGTTTCATCTCCAGCATGGAATACCTTAGAGCATAGATGTTTTTGCTGGTTGCATAAATGTCTTTATTTTTGCAGATTGTTACTTTTTCAGATGCATCGTCTGAGGGGGAGTCGCTCAAGTGTGGCAAAGGTTGATGTGACAAAGTCTAGGTCTATTTTAATATTCATTATTGTAATGCTCAAGCTCGCTTGAATGTTACTCTTCTCTTTTTGCCCCAATATTCTTAATAAAACCTTTGGCATTTTTTATGCAAAAAAGGGGGAGAAGAGGTTCAAAATAGTTGAGATTCGTTTTTGTCAAAAAATTGCCAAAGGGGGAGATTGTTAGTTCCATATTGTGTTGGCATTATTTTTTGACAAACGAATGGATTTATCTAGAATTATTTTAGATGTTTTATTTAGACTTAGAGTCCTAGCATGTGAAGGAAGAGGAAGAGGAAAGAGCTTGAAGAGAGAATTCTAGTCCTACTTGGATTCTAATCCTATTTGGTTTACAATTCATAAGGAGGAGGCCATGGTTGAGAATCCTAAGCACACTCTAACATGGCTATTCTATTCTATTAATATCTTCACCCTCCCTTAGAGTTTTGGACGTGCAAAACTACGAAAAACCAGGAGCAAATTCGATCAAAAGAAAAACACAAGGTGCAGATTTTGAGACTGTAAATTCTCTGGACAGCCCGCACAGATTTGATCATCGCCGGAGATCCGACCGTTGGATTTT